GTGGAACTAGAGCTAGAGTGACAAATTAGAAACTCATGGGCAGAACTGATTCCATTTCTCATGCCAATTGAGAGAGACAGTAGTAGCACTGCGATATACGTTTCCCTTCCTATCACTGAGTGGAAATCATGGTTACTAAAAGCTGATAAAGATTTTATATTAAATCATTTACATTGTATACAGTAATGGTGTGCTTATGAATGGATTAGTCATAGTACTCTGTCTTCTATAACCACTTGAGTTAGAAGATTTAGAGATGAGATTCTTTTCTCTGGGAATACACTCACTGAAATACCACTCAGATGTTTTTGTGGTTTTGCATTCCATGCTTCAAGAATAAACAAGTTTTTGCTATACCCTTTGAAGTGTAGATCAGGATGCAACTTGGAAGGGATGGATAGAAGATAAGATACATCGTTTATACTACATGATATATAATACATTTAAACACTGCAGTCAAGACAGCAGTGAACAGACATTTAGTCAAACCCTGTATCTTTCTCAAAGTTGCACAGTCTAAGGAGGTAGGCCAGTGGAAAACAACCAGGGAAGGCGAATGGATGTGTTCATTTTTACAAAGCAGGACCTGGGGGGAAGAAGGAGGGGAATAGAAGTGGATTGACTAGCCTGAGGTCGCAAAGTCTTTGACTGAATCAGTAAAGGAATCTAAACCTGCTTTTATTTCTGGAATGAAAACATCTTGATTGTGGTATAACATCTTCATTCCCCTCTTAATTCTGGAAGCAGGTTGTCAAATGGCAACTCAGACTGGCCCTGTTCTGGAGTCAGCATCAGAGCATTAGATGGCACTACTAAAGCCAGCAAAACCTACAAATAATCCCCTGGCCTTTGCCCGCTTTCTGATTTGAGGGAGGTAGGGATGCCACCTTTTCTCTGAGAAGCAATGATATGAAGGTCAAAGACATCTCTTTTTTTTTTTTTCTCCCTTTGCCCTGATTCTCAACAAAATTGCCTTACATTAGGGTAATCCAGTGCTTTGTGGTTAAACTAATGATACATCTGCTTTTCCTTCATTAGAATTTCCAAGGCAGCCACACTGACATCTGGGAATGTAAGATGGAAATCCTTTGAACACATAATTCATTCAAGGTCCTGTGTAGCACCATACCAGTGTTTAGTCCACATCGCAGACTGCAGAACAAGAATTAGTAGTGAAAAGAAAAAGTAGATGTGATAGAGGTAGAGGTCATTTAGAGGCTTCACCTGCTGGAGTAAAGAGTAAAAGACAAGCAAACTGAACATATTTTTTTTTTTTTTTTTTTTGTGGATCCAGAAGTGTATTTTTTCTGGTTCAGCCTGATTTGGAGCTGTTGCCTTTTCCATGCTTTCTTTTCCCTTTACCTCCTTTCCTGCTGATGCAGAACCTGGATTGGAGGAACTTCCTATTATCCTCTCTGGAGAACTTATCATCAAGTTATCTTTCCAAACTACATAAAGCCTCTAAAAATAGTCTTTATTCCTTGGAGGAAAGCATTTTCAAGCTCCCTGAACATGGTACTGTGAAGGAAAGGACTCCCAGTTTACATATGCCGCTAGTCTGTCCACCTCTACTTTACTTACATACTTAAGCCCTGTGTGCCTTTTTGGGGCTCTCTAGAACATTACTTATGGGGTTAGTGCCAAAGAGCTTTAGAACATGGAGCCAGTTTAAAAAACAAAAGTGCTGCCTTGGGACTGTGTGGTCCCCTGGAAGGAATACAGCTCCACGTGGTAGGTTGCCTTCATTTCTGCCTGGTGATCCTGTTGGTTTGCATATGGAAAGATGACTTGCTTTATTTGGGTTACAATTCTCTTTAATTGTACTCTGTGGTATTTGAGATGGGTTTTATTTCACATTCAATCAGAATGCTGTAATAAAAAGCCACTTTGAAAATAAAAAGAAATAAACCCAAATGTGTTTATTGGAGCTTGAGCAGGGGCATACTTATGAATGAATTAGTGAACTCACCTCGGGGAATAACTGTGGAAAGTTCTAGTGAAGCAGGACTATTCTGTATCATCTCTAGTGAGTATCAGTGTCACCCCTTCCTAGTCTACTTATTGGAAGATGGATAAACTTCAAGCTGCCTTTAGGCTTTGCTCAAATCAAAGACAGAAGTAAAGGCATAAGAAATAATCCAAACTACTGTCAGTGTACTGTCATAATTGTACACTGTTAATTTTAAATTTTATTCTTAAACTCCATTTTTGCTTTGTTCCAGTATGGAAGAGAAGACAGTGATTGGGCAGTGCTGGTGTCGTGAAGGTGGAAGAGGTCAGGCCCTTCAGAAGAAAAGACATGAATAATGATAACTTCTGTAGCTGCCTGTGCATAGCATAGTTTCTGTATCAATCTGCTCCCCAGGATGATTGTTTCCACAATCCGGCGAATGTGAACACAATCATTTTGATTTCTACTGTAACCCTGTTAGTAGAAACCTGTCTTCTTGGTAGAGGTGCTAAATGTTAGCAATAGAACTTCCCTAATGATTTTCTTAGTGCCTCCTTGTGTCTTATGTACAGTCTAAAAACTTGTAAAATGCTCTTCAACTGCTCTTCAATTTGTTTTGTTTGTTTTAACTGCCATTCCTGTTGTCACATAACACAAAGATGTTGCCTGTTAGTTGGCCGCAAGGTTCTATTGACTTTATTTTGCCTTTTTCTCCGTGTTCAGAAAATTAAGTTTAGCCGTATGCTCTTTGCTTTCATACTCTGCTTGTGTGGGAGATTCCTGAGTTTGCAGAGCCCTCTAGATCATCTCATGCATATTCTGTCAAATAACAGCTCTGTCCTTTAGGCCAAAATCCTCCAAGTCGATCTAGCCTGCAATAGGCTCCCTGTTGGGCTATTGCCTTTCCCTCTTTGGGGATACGCTGTGGCTGCTTGGGCAGTGCATAGCACTCTCATAGTTGAATACATCCTTCCGTACATGATTTATGGGGCTGGGCCAAGCGCTGCTGGGACGAGAGTCACCCTTTGTCTGACCTAGCACAGAGCTGGGTGCTGCGGACATGGCGTTGCCTTCCGAGTGAATGTCTAGAAAACAAGATTAGGCAATGGTGGCTGTGAAAGTTGAACCACTCTGGAGAGCAGCCCAGCCTTTGGACTGAGGAATTTCTTTCAATAGCCAGTCACATAATTTAGATCAGCAAAATGTTTTTCTTGTCCCCTTCACCGCTTGCTGTGAAATGTATCCAGCCTCGGTTGACACGTGTGTACCTTAATAGGGCCTTCCTATTAAGGACCAAGCTATGTTGTTAAGAGAAAATACCTAACACAAGAAGGAAAGAGATTTCATTCAAACCCCGCTGTTTTTCTGATTAAGCACAATGTACTGCTTCATATACCGCCACTCTCTCCCATGCAGTCTTAATACTGTTTGGAAGCAATACAGAGCATGTAGCCCATAGTTAGGGAAATAACTTCTGCAAATGTTCACTAAATTATACTGTAATATTTATTAGCTTTCTCTTTTTGCACACAGCTTTGTTGAACAGCTTTAAGATATCTCTTGCCAAAAAGAATCACCCTACTCTCTATCAATGTTCCAAAGTGCTACTTCAGTGTAAAACCGGTGGGACTTTATTGACACTAATGGAGTCCTATGAGAAGTAGAAGTGAAACATTTATTGCCATAGTTTGCAGTAGAGATGCACCACTATTAAGGGAAATATTTAGCACTTTATTTTTTTTTAAGACCCAACAGTATCTCTCCCATGCGTTATAAGTCCTTTGTAGTCACTGGCATTTGTTAAAATTTTAAAACATTTTAACACTATAAAAAAAGACAAGATATAATTTCTAACAGACCATCCATGCCTTATGCAACTGGTAAAAAGTAGTCTTATGGCTTTTCTCCTAATTTTTGGTCAGATTTTAAAGACAAACCCCTACTTAGCCATCACTTTCTTTTGCTCCCTCAAATCATGACTTTTACTGTCTTTCACTGCAGTCCAGTCTGATCTTTTAATGAAGAACAGTTGAAGGTTCTCTCTGACAATGTAACCATTGTTAAAATTTGTTAGACGGTTTTCTCTTTAGAATACAACTGCAAGCACAAGATGTTGTTTCGCTTACAGTAGCAATAGTATTTTGTGTCTGCTTTTCTGACCATTTGAATTTGTATCGTGTCCTGGTCTTCGTTCAGTATCTTATTGTGTATTATAAGCTGCTGGTAGTCTTTCTCTTTTATTTAATTAGATGGGTGGAAAAATTAACATGGGGAATATGTCAAGATGCAATGTGGGGTAGAGAGTTTTATCCAATGAGACAAGTGTCATAACTAAAGAGTGCCTTTAACTAGAGCGTGGCATGGAGCTCTCTAAAGATTATGTAATGAACAACCATGTGTGGCTTCCTGGTACTGAACTATCTAATCTGTCCTCTTATGGTCATCTTAGATGTAGCAGCAAAAGGAAAAGTGGAAACATCTAATTTCAGATGCATGGAAAAGCCGTTGTATGACACCTTAACATCTCAGGATGTTGACAGAGTTGACAGGTATCATATACCAAAAATCCCCATAAGGGCATCAGTAAACCAGCAGTAATCTATTCGCTAGTCAGAATAAATAAGGACCAGTTAGAAGAATTATTTTGCTGTGATGTAAACCTAAAAGTTGTGTCAAACTCCTTAAATTGCATGCAAGTAATTTAACGTGGGGAAACCAGGCAGTTTCATTTATTGTGGTTGGCACTGTTTCCTGCACCGACCAGAGAGACGCTTTTCCTTTTACTGCCCATTTTCACCTGGTGGAGACTTCAAAATGACAAGAGTTTAAACTGGACTGGCCCACAGAAATGCACAGGCTTTTCTAGAAGAGAAGAATGAAAACATGTAGTGTGTGTATGTTAACGGTTGTCTTTAACATCTTGTTAATTGCTTTACTCGGGCTGTGTCAGCTCGAAGTTGTGCTTGTTTCCAAATGGGATCCAGGTGAATAGGTTCTAGATTTTAAACTTTAAAACCTAAATAAGGGAGCTGATGGGTCAGTATAGTATAGGAAATTCTTCCGATGTCGCATGCTGTCCTACCCTGCGTTCTGCCTCTGCTTTTTTAACCTGTTAACCAAAGGAAAGAAGTAATATGTGTAAATAATAGTGAGTATTTGGTATTGCATTCTTCTTATTTTTGGCTGTAAAATTTAGGAGGGAACTGTGGTATTCCCTGAGCTAATAATAGATTGTAAAAGAACATCTGCACATCTTTTCTCCATGTGCCCTATTTGTTTAATTGCGACAGATTTACATAGAAAGAGTATGGTACATCATAACTAGGCAATTATCTATTCTTCATCGCTTAGTTATGGTTCTGCTAATTGATCATTTAAGACTTAAGATAGTCTAACATTAGGAGAATTTGAGACTGTTCAAAAAAGATCAACAAATTAATATTGTTGTGTGATATTTGCATAATTGGCTGCAATTATTTAATGTTTAATTGGGTTGATCAAATGAGATTCAGCCTTTCAGATGCTTATGTTTTACAAACACTGGTACTTTAAAATGATAATAATGAACTCTCATTTTTGTATGTTCTTTCTTCTCCCCTTCATTCTTTTGATTATTATTTTCAGTATCGAGCATGTTCTTAATTTTCAGTTTGGTGAGCATGATTCACGCATAGGAAAGAAGTCCTTCAAATGAGAGAACTTTTCATGAAACTAGCATTTCATACAAGCTGTTCCGATGCCAAGAGTTATGGCTTCAGCAACTGGCATTACTTAACTAGATTCTTAACTGCAATGAGGGCAAATTTGCTGAGAATTTACAGTGACAGACTCTGTTGAGAATGCTAATAAAGGTTCCTGCTTAGGGTACGTAATCTGTTCTGTCTGTAGCAGTACAAAGCAAACATGATTTTTCTGGGATATAGAAAAGAAGTCTGGTAAGACGAAAGAAAGATAGTGGGAGATCTCTCTGCCCAGCCATTGTTTACACCTGTTCAACTATCTCAAGCCAAAAAGCAGTTGTCCTCCACTCCTCCTTTTTCTAGATAAACTCTTGGTTAGGTTTTACCTAATTCAACAGATAGATATCATGAATCCTCTCCTGTATACTTATTTTATACTTAATTTTCCGCAGGCATGAAGAATGGTAATTTGGAAAAATGTGATATTTGAAAGAGTCATTTGGGGTGCAAGTTATTAGAGATGTCTGTCATACATACATGGTCTTCCAAGGAGGCAGACAGAAAAACAGCTGGAACTGATCTCATAGCCACCTAATTAGAGGAGAAACCCTCTCAAATTCAGTGGCCTCTCCAAAACAATCTGCATAATCTCAACAGATTGCTTAGTGTGAACTGTCTGTTGATAGTGCCTTGCTATGAAATAGAATGCAGAGATGGTAGCACAGCCTGCCACACCATGGCACATTGGCGCTCTCTGCATGGGATTCGTCCTACTGGCGATAAATTTTAATGTTCTCGTGGCAGGCTTGTATACTGAGGCGTGGGCAGGTGTAAATGATGGCTGAGTGTGCCCTGAGGTGGGCCATTCCTGGCTGTCTGTCTTTCCCTTCCACACAGACTTGCAACACCTTTTCCCCGGGCTCTTATCATGATGCCACTTAGTCTCATATCTAAAAGTGACCATTTAAGCAAATTTTACTTTCTTTTTGCTTTTAGCAGTAGTGACAGTTAAAAAAAAAAAAAAAAAAGTGTTTTGTTCATCTTGAAGGTGTTCATGGTTTAGAATTGCACATTACCACCTGCACATGTAATGCCTGAACTGACTGCCGCTGACTTTGTGACCCTGGACAAGTTGTCTAATCTCTTTGTAAGTGCAGAGTAGTAGCGCTACCATTTACACCGCTTTTAACAGCAATCCAAACTTTTGCATAAAAAGTTATTTTACTACAGGTCAAATAAGCTTTCTAGAAGGCTATTTAAGCAGTAGAGATGCCATGTAAAGGCCAGAATTTCAAGGATTGCTTTAGAGTGGAAGTATCTTGATTATGCTGGAGAAAGATGTTATTTGAATGCAAAATATATTTAAGGTTTGCCGTATGAACCCACAAACAAGTAAAATGCGTAGTTCAGAATATAAAGTAGCATACAGAAAGATCTTGAGAAGGGAATTCACCTCCGCCTCTCAAACAGTGCTGTCTTATTTAAAAGTGAAGCTTGAAGGAAGCATTGCACTTCTTAGTGTAGAGTCATTAGATTACAACTATTCTAGAAGTGCACTTTGTCATGTAGCACTCAGACAAACCTATTTATCAATCTTGACTACAAATTTTCTGAACTGCAATATTTAGCAATTGAGAAGTGTCAAAAAGCTGTGTTTTACTGTATTTTGCCACTACCCTCAATATTTGGAAAAATAATTCATGGGTCCTAAATCATTTAAGCTAAGTAACTTCTTAATAAGTATTTGTATTTTTAGTCATAATAGCAAAAGGCAGTACTGAAAAATATTGTTGTAGCAATCCTCCTGTCCGTGCCCTGCTTTAAGCATCATGGTTATTAGTGGGAATTCCAGGATATTTTCCCTGACTGTGCAAAATCTGAGTGCCATCTATAGCATAGTTGGCAAATATAGCCCCAAATCCAT